GTAATGCCACCTCCCGTCCCAAAGCTTTCTTCTGTCTTTCCAGTTCATTTCGAAGCACCAAAATTTTTAATTGTAGGCATTCACTTTCTTTTTTCTAAATAAATAAAATCACAGGCAAATTTAGGAATATAAAAAGTCATGACTATGAGTTACACATTCACAATATCTCAAGTGAATAATCGTTTAATATTCATCAAATCTATAGATCTCTTGAGTAACTTTAATTATCAGCTGCCATTATTTTAACAGAAAAAAATTCAGAAATAAGCAAATAAGGGTAGACACTAATCTTCAGTCTAGGGTCAGTTCTAAGAACCCAAAAGACACTACAAAATATCTCAGGTCCCTTTCCTGATATCATAATACAAGCTTAAAAGTAATTAATAAAAAAATACTGGTGTTCTAAGAAAGTTAAACATGAATTTACCACAGGAATCAGCAATTCCATTCCCAGGTATGTGCTCAAGAGAATGAAAATGCATCCACACCAAAACTTGAACACAAATGTTTGCAGCAGAGTTATTCACAATATCCAGAAAATATAAACAACCCAAATGTCTGTAATAGATGAATAAATAAAATGTGGTACATCCATATTATCAAATAGTTTTATAACAGAAAGAAACTAAGTACTGATATATACCACAACACAGATGAACCTTGAAAACATTGTTATGTGAAAGAAGTCAGTGTACAAAGTCCACATATTATAAAGCTTCATTTATAAGAAATGTCCAGAATAGGTAAATCCATAGAAACAAAAAGTAGATTTCCATTCTCACCAAGCTGAACCAAAATGCTCTAATACCCAGCTCACTTTAGAGAAAGTCAAGTCATTGACTTTTCATTCCTGCTCAGAAGCAACCAACAAAGCCCCATGCAGGCACCACATGGGAAGACTGGAATTTTACCACCTACCTGGCGTAATGAGATACTGCTCTTTCTCTCCAGTGGTATCACAGGGGGCCTAGTGGAGTCCAAACTTTCAGTAATACCCAGTGTGAATGAGGCCACCCTATTCTCTATGATACAAGTGGGGGCCAGGTGGACAGCAGCAAAGAGGCACACCTACTCCTCCTAACCAAGAAGGTATCAGTGGAGGCCTTAGTAGGGGAGCTGGAACTGCTATTCCTGGCCAGCATTAATGAACTCTCCTACCCTCCTCCTCAGTTGTCAAAGGAGGCTACATGGGAAATCCTGATTTCTTCACCCCCTAGGTGGTAATGAAACAGTACTTCCTTTCCCCCTGCTAGAGAGATGCCAGAGGAAGCCAGATAAACAATATGTTTACATGAGATCTAGAGATTCATACCATTACTCCAAAATGTGCAAGTTTTAATAAAAAATTACTCATACCCCAAACCAGGAAGATATCAAGTAAATGAAAAAGGACTATTAGTAGATGGCAACACTGAGATGACAGACATGTTAAAATTACCTAACAAAGACCTGAAGGCTGCCATCTTAAAAACACTTCAAAAGCATTTAAAACATGTTTGAAGCACACAAAAAAATAGAAGGCCTGAGCAAAGAAACAAAGTCTCAGTAAAGAAACAAAAGAGACAAAGAACCAAATGGAAATTTTAGAACTAAAAATAACTGTAGCAAAAATCTCAGGTAATGAGCTCAAAGGCAGAATGGAAGCAAGAAAAAATAGCCTTACCTAGAAGACAGAGCAATAGAGGTTACTCAACAAAGAGAAAACACACTGAAAACAAACAAAAAGAATAGGACCTCAGGGGACTGTGGAACTATGTCAAAGTGCGGTGCGGGATGGGGTGTCTACTATTTATGCCATCAGAGTAACAACAAACTGATTCTGCTTATCAGAATCAGTTAATATCAACAGACTGATTCTGATTATACAAAAACAAAATATTCTGAACAACCAACACAATATTGATAAGAAAAAAGAAAAGCCGGAGAGCTGACAGTACCCAATCTCAAGACTTACTATAAATTAAGACAATAATAATCAAGACAGTGTAGTATGGGTAAAAGAATAGAAAAATAGATGATCAACAGAGCAAGAAAGCCCATAAATAGGTTCACATAAAGATAGTCAAATGATCTTTGACAAAGAAACAAAACTAATTCAATGGAAAAAGGACAATCTTTAACCGAAATGATGCTGGTTCAGGAGAGGGAGAAAGGGATTAGTAAGTAGAAAGGAGATTTTTAACCCAAATGATGCTGAAATCACTATTGAGACACAGGGAGGAAAAACCCCAGAAAGAAATGAATCTAGATTTAGACCCTCCATTTTTCACAAAAAAATAGCTTCATAAAGTAGATCATGCCTCAATATAAAATAAAAAATTATACAACAGGGCCAGGGATTTAGCTCAGTGGTTCCACCGCCTGCCTTGCAAGTGCAAGGTCCCAAATTTAATCCAGGTACCAAAAAACAAAACAAAACAAAACAAAACGACATTTAGAAAGCAGTATAGGAGAAAATCTTGGTAACTTTTCAAATGTAATACCAAAATCAAGATCCATGAAAAAAGAAATTGGTAACTTAGAAGTTCATTAATATTAAAAACTAGTCTGTGAAACACACTAGTAAGAAAATTAAAAGCCTCAGATAGTAAAAAATCTTTGCAAAACATGTTTGATAAGACCAGTATCCAAAATATACCAAGAATTCTTAAACACAACAATAAGAAAACAACCCAATTTAAAAATGAAACAAAGATCCTAATAGCTATTTCACCAAAGAAGATATACAGGAGGAAAATAAGCATATGAAAAGATAGTTAACAAAATTCATCATAGTAATCTAAAACCAAAATGAAATACAACTACACATTTATTAGAATAGCTAGAATCACAAACACTGTCTAACACCAAATGTTGTGAGGATATTAACAACCAAGACTCATTCATTGCTAGAGGTAATGTGAAATGATACTTCCAATTTTGAAAATAGTTTGGAAGAGGTAAATACAGGCTTACTACATGATCCAGCACTATCAGATATTTACTTGCATGAGTTGAAAATTTAGGAACAAAAACCTACACAAAATTATCTACAGCAACTTCATTTGTAACTGCCAAACCTTGGAAACAACCAAAACATACTTTAATAAATCAACAGATAAACTATGATGTGATATATATATATATATGATAAAAAGATGAGCCAATAATATATGAAAAGACATGGAGAAACTCAAAATCTGTAAAGAAACTAGGTAAAGAAACTCATCTGAAAAAGTTACATACTGTATAATTCTTACTGTATGGCATTCTGAAAAAAGCAAAAACTGGAAACAGTAAACAGATCTTGCTTGTCAGTGGTTCAGGAGAGGGAGAAAGGGATTAGTAAATGGAAATGAGATTTTTAGGGAAGTGAAACTATTTTGCATGACACTGTAATAGTGGCTACATGTAATAGTGATACATTTGCCAAAATTCATAGAACTGTTTAACAGAATGAACCCTACTATAAACTATGAACTTTAGTAAATTATAATTTAGCACGATTAATCAATTTTAACAAATATACCACACTAGTACAATATCTTAATAATAGAAGAAATTGGCAGAGAGAGTTTGGGAGTTCTCTACTTCCTATACTATTTTTCTATAAATCTAAAACTGTACTTAAAAGAAAGTTTTTAACAAAATGTTTTTATTTTTATTTTTTGACATTGGGGATTAAATTCAGGACTTTGTGCTTGCCAGGCAGGCACAGTGCCACTGAGCTACATTCCTGGCTGAAAAGAAAGTTTATTTTTAAAAAATCGTAGAACCATACACCAAATTGTCAATTTGGGGGTTAGGGTTATGCTTAGTATGTGCCTAGCCTGTTCTGCTGCGGTTTCAATCCCCACAATAAAAAAGTCAATTTTATAGAATGTTTATTAATAAATGAAAATCCCTGACACATTCTACCAGCTAGAAATATATTTAAGTTTATTAAATAAATCTACTAACTTATTTCTTCATATAAATATTGCCTTATGTCAAACCATAGTTTAAATATTACTCAAACTCCTTTTTTTCTCCAGATACTTTGCTTTAATTTGCTTCCAGATACAAATCTGAAATCTTGTTTTCATAATAAGCATATATGTACATACACACAAAATTACTACTTAGGAAATCTATATACCCTTCCCCATTGGTCCTTACTAGATGGTGTCAATAATATATACTTCCCATGATTTTTCCATGACATAAATCTTGACCAAACAGCAATTTGGCAGTACCTAATACATTATTACCTCCACCCAAAGGTATTAAAGTAGCTAATTAACATTGTAATAGGGGAAAAACCCCATTCATTAAATAAATAGGTTACCAAGACCTGGAATGAGCTGGTAGAAAACTTCAAAAGGAAAAAGCCATTATTTGGTTGATTTACAGACAATAAGCAAGCCTGGGAATTAAGTCAGATGCATGATGGTATGGCCTTGTTGAAGCAGTGGGCATGAAAAATGATTTTGGGCACTTGTGTTGAAAGTGTTTTACTGTAATCATTTCTCATCCAAAATGCTTTCTTCTTCATCCTTGAAATATTGATTCTAAACAATGCCATGACAATACATTAAAGACACTCAAGCCAAGACAACAAGCAGAAAAGCTTATTTCCAAGTATCATTATTACATTAGGTTTGAAAAGTCTATGAAATATGCCTTTACAAAGAATATTGCAAACATTTATCAAGGACTTCTAAACATTTATGAGGGATATGCTTCTAGATGAATCCAAAATGTTTTCTGCCTTCTAGAATTTAGGTCTACTGGAAACAAGGCCATTTTGCCCTGCCAACCCACTATACAAAAGCCAAGAGTCATGAGGTTCTAAAAAGTGGAAATAACCCAAGTATCCATCAACAGATAAATGGATAAGCAAAATGTGTTATATACCTGCAACAGAATATGATTTAGCCTTATCAAGGAAAGCAATTCTGCAATATGTAGTAACATGGATAAATCTTGAGGATATTATGCTAAGTAAAATAAAGCAGTCATAAAAAGGAATATAGTATATGGTACTGCTTACATGAGATTTTTAGAGCAGTCGAAATCATAGAGACAGAAGGAAAGCATAGTGGTTGCCAGGGCTTAGAACTAGTGGGGATTTAG